TCACATTAATCAGCTGGTAGAAGCTTAGTTGCTTAGCCAAACCAAATAATTACACTTGCGTGTTCGACAAATGCAATTTCTACAAAATGCTTTTTGCTGAAGACCACTACTGCTATAGTAAAAATCATATTGAGACTTTGTGCTTTGTAGTCACAGTAAGACTGGACCGCCCACAGTTTCGTTTTCCATCACAAAAAGTTTTCACGTGAAATATTGCAATGGAAATAATGTTAATGCCGAAATATAAATTAACAAGTGTGGCATGTAGCCACGCGAGCGGTAACCGCAACATATCGCAATTTCAACTTGAGCAACTCTGAATACCCACGCATTTATGGCTGCAGCGAACAGCCAAAATCAAATATTTATGCCAAGTTTACGCAGTCCGATGTTGGAGGCTCCGCGTGCTGCATCCTAACGTGGCGGCGCCAAGGCGTCTATCCAACCGAAGGAACTTGTAGCCAACTTTGAACAAATTTTTTCAGCGCTGCTCTCTACTATTTGTATGCGATTCGCTTGCGAATATATTCGTCACAATTCGTTTTAGGTTTGACGCCAAACGACAACATTTGCCAATCTTCTGTCCCCGCGTGCCTCAGTGAACGCTTTAGTCACTGAGTAAATCTCGAGTCCGTGAAGTAAGCGGTCAGCAAGAATACTGTAGCCGAAGTGAATAAACAAGTGTCAGCATGATTTTTTTGTAAGTGAGCGTCATCACATACTTAAAACAACTTTTAGCAGCCGCAAAGCAACAATATGTTTGCTTACTTTGAAGTTGGGGTGTACTTGAAATGTTTAGTGATATTCGAAAACACTTCATTTCGTTATTTTTTTTTTTTAAGGAATGTCGAATAGTTCAGCCATTGCTGCCATTCGTTTGCGTTTAAAAACTTTTGAGTGAGTTACTGTAGTCCAGAACTTATATGCGCTGTTTCCCACTCATAAATAAGGAATAATAGGCGGAGGTGTCGGTTTGTACGGCAAACGTTTGTTTTTTCTAAGCGCCAAAGACTTATTTTAAAGAAACAATATTTACTTATTATTGTTGTTACATTGTCACATTGGAAGAATATTGAGAAGAGAAACTCATCGCAGTTTGTTGAAACTAATTTTTAGGGTGAATTGTGGTACGTTGCAATGTAGGTAGAACATCAACTTGGAATTAATCCAGAGGAACATTTGAGGACCCCCAGAAAGTGCACGAAGGTCAATATTTAAAAAAAATTATAGATCTTAAACTAAATATTCTCAAAAAGTCAAAATGAAAGGATTAATATTTATCCGTAAGACAATCAAAGATTGGAAAAGCGAGCACGCCATGAGTATGGAATTATTATGGCTTTCTCGTCCAGGGTAGTGAGTGAAAAACAACGAGTAGAGTAATAGGACCAATATGGAATGAAATAAAATAAAACCACACCTCTTAAAGCAGGCAACCATCGAGATGTACAACATTTATAAGAACGCCTAAAATAATTTTCTAAATTCAAAGCTCTCTGTAGTTGGAATTATGGAGTAAGAACATACATATGCTCAGGTGAAAATGGCCAGAAACTGTCACAAATTCACATTTTTCACCAGTCTTAATCCAAAGCAATTTATGATTTCTGCGCACCGTTTTGAGCTCATTTATTTAACATCTTAGAATTTTGATGCCCAAAGGCAAAAAAAATAAGTTAAGCACAAAAAATAATTCACATTGTACAGCTAGCGGCATAATAAAGCAGTAAATAGAAAGCGAAAAATCGAATTCTAATATGATTTATTGTTTCTCATAAATAAGTATTTAAAGATAGCACAAAATACTCTTCTCATTTCATGAACATGAAATTTGTGTTTATTTGCTGTCTTTCCGTCAATAATAGATGTTGGCATAGCTCCCTGAACAGACGATCTGCCGACACTGCGTCTCTGATCTGATTAATGCGTCTCTAATCGAACTCTGTGACGCTCTGGCATGTTCATATTTGAATAAATTTGTATTCCGACCAGCAGACGTTCTTACTCAATGAGCGAGTAATCGAGTCCCCTCGCATTTTATTTACATTAAATGTCGTTTGTTATTTGCTATTTTCGGCTTTTATTCATTTGCGTTGCATCAGTTTAGCTTTATATCTAGAGTGTGAATAATCATGATAGAAACTTCTTATTGTAGTGTGTGACAAGATTTGTAGTCTTGCTGCTGTTCTGAATACCAATTTGTTCTCCTCCTTCTGCAAAGAGAAAGAGCATAAACACAACATCGGATAGTTTTGAGGAAGTAAGCTGAATTTTCTGAATGCATTTGATCTTTCTTATGTAGATAGGAGGCAGATATTTATCTACAAATTAATTTTTCTTCATGATTTCAGTGATTTTATTTCAAACCATTTCTTATCCCGCTAGTAAGCGGAGGATGGAGTCATGTGTAGAAGTTCACGCAAGTGATCAAAGTTCTCTGATCGCCATTCACTTGTGAGTGGCCAGAAACGATTCTTTTACATATGACTCAAGCAGCTCACAACTTCCGGTCTTCGACCAAGTATCCTCTGGGTAGCCTAAGAACAGCATGGATTGGTTGCGCCACTTCGTGTTACACTTACTGTTGTGGTAGCGGAAGTGCGTATAAATTACCTCCGGGTTGAATTCTGAATTATGCAATCTCTTATTTTACATATAAAAATATGTTTGAGTTTGCACAAAAACCGAAACGCGCTGGTATTAATGAGAAAATTTTCAAACTCATAAGTTAGTGTAAACACTTAAGCATATCTATAAGCAGTTGGGCAGTTAAAACGCATTGACATGAGAACGCCTAATATATAATTACTCTATAAACTATTCGAATCAAGAAGTACACACACATACACACATAACTCCTCAAAATATATTGTGTACGAAAATAATTAATTTCGAAGTAAATTAAGAAAACAATAAGTTATATCGTTTGTGTGTGCTGATGTTATTGTTTCTACGCAAGCATGTAACATGGAATGAAGTTGACTGTCGTTGACAGCTGTTGACATCAGAATCAGAATAATTATGCCACATCGTTGCTTTATTATTATAGTTATTATGTTGGATTGTAGGGCTGTCTGAGTGCTTTGTTTGAATACCTAAAGAACGTAAAATGTCATCATTGCCATCGTTATTGTTGTCATTCGGATAATGTCATCCACACAAACCACAAGGCTAATTTTTCATAGTCTCCTTTGCTTCTACTATTCCAAAGCAATAATATGATCGGATAATCTACAATCTCATCAAATTTCATGATACTTCAACAATTTGTCTTCAGCGATGCGGTACTATCTCCCCTTTGCCTCATTATATTTCACCAAATGGCAATAATGCACTTGCGTGTATTTCAATTAGTAAATAAATAAATATTAGTGGAATCTTTTATTCTTCTGATGAAGATTCAGAAGTTTTTCTTATGCGTTATAACAAATGACAGCGGATTCTGAAAAGGATATCTGAAGATCACAAATACACATTCATTTATACTATATAAAACACTAAATCCAACAAAACTTATTCGGTTCAATTACCAATTACATGGATGGACTTTCGCACAGTTGCAGAAAGGTCAGACAACAATATATCGAAATCGAATGTTACTCCTACGTCATGTTGGACGTCCTTATGAAGCACGTAGAAAATTGAAACATTATCGCCATACTGTGTGAAGTGGAAAATAAAAGCACTTTTGATTACATAAGCCATAAAGCACAGCAAAACTACGTGATGCCTCCTCTGCGTATAATACAAATAGTAAAATAAGTTTGATTGGTTTCCCGGCTGGAAAAAGTCGTAAGTCGAATGTTTGTTATTTTTCTGACTTTATCTGCAATTTTTTCTTTCCATTCAGGAGAACATTAATTTTTAGGTACTACAAGTACCTAAAATTGTTTACATTACAAGAAAATGCCATTTGGTGGTCTAAGAAATTGGTTCGCTTAACACTGCTGTCCTTTGAGTTTGAGACCAAACCAAAATTAATTCTAAGTTTGACATAAATAGCAGCAATACACGTACTTATAATACATATATGTACATTCAAGAACACACTTGCACACACAGGAGTTATAAAGGAGACGGCAATTTAAAAGTAAACCGAGGAATTTTAGAGAGAGTGCCGGAGCAAATGCACCACGTTCTGTGTGAACATATGTATTTTCGAAAAATTTGCAACACACAGTTAATTCGTTCAGATATGTGTTTGCTTTAGTGACAATAAATGCATGAGAAATAAATTTGTATCCCAGAAAATTACATTTCAGCTCACTGAGAGTTAAGTTGAGACATCATCTACCATACTCTCATCTACTCAGAGGGTCTATTCGCCCGCACAATGCGGCATATAGCATTTATGAGACTTTGTCCGTTTACTCATGGCGACTGGTCGATTGAAAATTGTTGTTCTTGTGAACCTCGTTGAGGAAGTGGCGCGAATGTTTAAGTGACAAAATTGACAATTAGTCAGCTGTCAGTGATGGTGTCAGACTTTACTAAAAACAGGACGACACATG